AATGTTGCAATCAGTAATTAGAGGCCCTCCTAAGTGGCCGTCGCTCGGCTACCGACCATGCGGCGGTCGGCCATCTTGGATCCTTTGTTCACCCAGCGGTGTTTGGTTGTCGAGCGCGTGGTACTAAAAACGGCTATTCGACGGCGCGAACACCGCTGGACTTCCAGGCCGTTCGGTATTTTATTCCCTTAACATCAATCGGTCTTTTGAATGTGTGTTTCAATGAATATGTTTTTCGTGCGGCGTTCGGTTGTTTTAGCTGGGATCTGAGCGGTAATCTCATGAATGATGCGCTCAGACCCCAGCTATCTACTGAACGTCCATAGACCTAATAGTCGAAAAACGGTGTATTTTAAAGTAAATTGCCAGTTCTGCTGCACGGAGGGATAATCCACTTAACAGTATATTCCAGTGGGAGGATCCCTCCCGTGCAGCAGTGCCTGATGGGGGAAATGCTCTGTACTGTAAGTTCCCCATGTCGTCCACTCTGGGAATGCCCCTGGGATGGGACTCAGGAAACCCCTTGCATGGGGAATTGTATAAATTGTGGAGCCTGTGAATAAAGCCTTCAGTTGACTCCCAGAACTGTGTTTTGTCCGGTTACTGGGGGGATTTGGGATATCGCTTTCTTTTCAGCGCTGACTGTGGATTATTGAGTGTATCAGCGGAATTCGTGGATTTAATACTGCCGATCCGCTACACATTCCTTCTTACCTCCTGTTGTATTGTGACCTCACAGACAATGGTAGAGGTCTTCTTTATGCTCTAGTCGGTCTGACATAAAGCAAGCAGCTTCCTTTGAGACCAGTTAGAGGTTAAATAAAATCTTCTGTCCACAAGCAAATGCTACATGGAGTGACTGGCAGTAGAACAGCTTGATTTATTACCTGTGATCCATTTTGCAATACCACCCTTTTTTACAGTCAACAAATAGGCCGGGATATGAAATGATACTGCAGTTTATGCACTTTAGTGACACCACTAAGTGTCTGCAGAAAGGTCATTGGCAGTATGATCACCTTTTTAAACTGCAAACCCCAATTTCCCACTTCAATGTTAAATTTATAAACCATTATACCCCCTCTAAAATATCTGCATTGCTGAGTCCCAGAAATAAATGAGAGAGATTCCCTAAATTAGGAAACCACAGATGACCATCCAGGTAATACCTACAAAGGGAATAACCCTCATTTAAATTATGTACTCCAAGATAATTACTACATGTATTCCAAGCTAAAATATACACTTTTATTGAGACACCCCTTTAAAAGCACACACACATTTTTTTTTTTAAATTATCATAAACTAGGTTTGCACAAATATAATAAATGTGAAAAAACAACAACACATAAATAGTGAATCTGTAATGAGACTAGAAGTGTCTAAAGTACGCTAAAATGCAATGGGAATATACTCTTGTAAGTTCTATAACCAATAATTTCCATGCAAACAAGAGGCTAGAGAAAAGGATCTCATATTTGTATCCTAAAAAAAAAACTAAAATGGAAAATACAAAAGGTCACATAGTTCTCTCATATGTTCTCTAGCACATCTGAATAGAGATACATATAATTCCGTTTACCACAGAAGTCTACGAAATACAGTTAACCTCAAGAAACAATATATAGAAGGATAAATTAAAGATTCAAAGGACTGTGCACACTATAAAAAAAAACATGTATAATTGCAAAGTAATGATCTGTGCATTTACAGTCATGGGAAAAATAGAGTACACCCTCTATGAATACTGTAGTGTTACATATAAGGAAGGACACAATAATAATTCCCTGATTTTACTATTAACATGATGTAAAGTCATGATTTTGTTAATGACACAGAGGAGATTATTATGCATTCTCTTTCTATTTATTTCCCTCAGTAGCAAAAATGAAAGAAAAATGTGTTTTAACTTAAAGAGATGCTATAGTCACCAGAACAACTACAGCTTATTGAATTTGGTCTGGTGAGTAGAATCATTACCTTCAGGCTTTTTGCTGTAAACAATGTCTTTTCAGAGAAAATGCAGTGTTTACATTACAGCCTAGTGATAACTTCACTGGCCACTCCTTAGATGGCTGTTAGAGATCCTTCCTGTGTCATGGCTGCCTAAAATGCATCCAAACATTCAGTGTCTCCTCCCTCTGCATGCAGACACTGAACTTTCCTCATAGAGATTCATTGATTCAATTCATCTCTATGAGGAGATGCTGATTGACTAGGCCTGTGTTTGAATCATGCTGGCTTTGCCCCTGATCTGCCTCCTTGTCAGTCTCAGCCAATCCCATGGGGAAGCATTGTGATTGGATCAGGCTACCACTTCTTATGATGTCAGCAGGCAGTGGGCAGGTCTAAAGAAAACAGGGCCAAAAACAGCAGCTTCAAGCTTGAACACAAGTAAGATTTTACTATATTTTGGGAGGTATGAGGGGACCAAGGTGGCTAGATGGTGGTTTTAACCCTATAGGGTCAGGAATACATGTTTGTGTTCCTGACCCTATAGTGCTCCTTTAAAATGTATAAAACAATAGACTGCCTAGGGATAGGGCCGCCAATCAACAAAGAGTATATTCTATGAAAGTAACGGTCTAATCAGTGAACTTCCTCTTTCTTGAGTTCCGCAACCGAAGATCAGGGTATCATGAACTAAAACCAATAACTTCATCCAATCATGATCCGGGAACCATCCAGAAAAGTCAAACTGTTGAGAGATAAAAATAGATGGTAATATTAATTTCTATGACTGTGTGTCAGTAAACAACCATGTCCTGTATAAGCTAGTATTCCACAACTACACTATAATAAACATAAACCATTCAAAGGGAGGAGGAGTCTGCGCTAAGTAACAAGAGTATGAGCTGCAACCCTAAAAGGGAATCCCTCAAAAACCCTTGGTTCGATAACAGAAAAAAAAGGGGGTGAAGGGCTGCACTATTGTGCAGGAAATAATAAATATGTCACAGTTTAAAAACTAGATTAAATAGTCTCTTGTTAAGATAAAATAAATAAAACAAAGTCCATCCAGCAGTAGAGATCAAATAGTAAAATGTCCAATAAAATACATAAAATCGTCTGACTGATATATGGATAGGGCGTATGTACAATCCTCAGGAGTTGATCCGTCCGGGTTGTAGGTAGTCCGTATATGTGAAGATAAAAGCACGACAAGCTTCCAATGGTATAATATTGTATTTAAAAAAATAAGCGAAATAAAAAATGGAGGATGATACACTCACATTTGATGGAGCTTTGGACCAGCTCTTGGATGAAGGGCACTTAGCGGTATAATCCCCACTAGAGGATATACTGTGGAAATGGGTCTGTCCGTCCAACTTGGTTTCCGTAGTATTCCGCAGGATATCTGAAAACAGTAATAGTGCTCGATCGGGTGTCAGCTGAACTCCTTTCCAAAATGTCAGCCTGATGCCAATCTCCTGCGTCTCGAAGGTACCTAGAATTCCAGTCCGCCCATGAATTGTCCAATTCTGGAATATGTTCCGCTGCCAGAAGTCTTTCGCCAGGTTCGCCAATAGCTTTGACTTCGTGCCCCCTAGGCGATTGATGTAGCTCACAGCCGAAACGTTGTCCATCTTGAGCAGAATGCAGCATTTTGCCTGGTTGGGCACCAGTCTGCGGATGGCAAAGGACTCCGCTAGCAGTTCGAGTCCGTTGATGTGCATTGAAGATTCCTCCACTGACCATCTGCCTCCGGTAGAGATATTGCCGCAGCGCACACCCCAGCCATGTAAGCTGACATCCGACTCGATAGCCATGTCCGGTGTAGTCCTGAAGATTGTCCGGCCTTTCCATGCCTCCATGTGGGCAAGCCACCATTTCAATTCCTCCGAGCTTCAGAATCTAGAGTGAGACATGACTTGTAAGAGTGGTATAGCCTCAGGGAAGATCCCTTGATCCTCTGGAGTAGTGAAGTGGCCCTGGGAATATCACCAGGATGGAAGAGGCGAGTAGCCCTATCATAATCGCTAGCTGTCGTACCGACAAGTCCCGAGCTCGAAGCGTATATTTGATCTCTTTTCTCATGGTTCTGAGCTCGGTGTCTGGTAGATAGAGGAACTGAGCGACAGAATCCACGTCGAAACCCAGAAACTCTATCATCTGAGTTAGGTGTAGAATAGATTTTTCCCAGTTGATGAGAAAACCCAGTTCTTGTAAAAGCTGCACCGTCCATCACAGGTGTATACATAGACGATCTGGTGAGTGCGACATGATGCGGATGTTGTCCAGATAAATGATCAGGCATACTCCTCACTCTCGTAGGGAGGACACAACTGGTTTCATCAATTTGGTGAAGCACCATGGAGCAGAAGAGAGTCCAAATGGAGACAGGTAAACCTCCATCTCTTTCCACGCAATGTAAAGTGGAGCAGGTCCCTGTGCTCCACTGTGATAGGTACCATCAAGTCCAATTTGACCATCCAATCTGAGGGCAGAAGGAGGTCTCTTAGACAGTGGATGCCCTCCATAAATGATGCTCCGAAGAGCAAACCCTTGGCCGAAGGGCCCGGCTCTTTAGTTGCCATATCCATCAACTTGGTCTCTATTTTGATCAGAATGGCCTTACGCCGTTCTGTCGACAAAGCCATGTTGGCAAGCAGGCAGATCAGCCTTTGTACCGATCCAATTGCCACATCAAAATTGAGTGCTGTTTCTCCCACTTTGGCAGACTCAAGGAGCTCAAAGAGCTTAGCCGCCGGTCCCGGCGTGTCCAGGATCTTGTCCTGACAGCTATACAGGGAGAACTCCAGCCCCTTCCCCGGTTTTCAACCTGTTTTTGTCAAAAATGTTATTATTTGCGAGTCCACCTCAGGGGTCTTACAGGCTGCATCAAGTACCAAGTGGCATGGGCATTCTGCTCGCAGTTTACTGCGCCCCTCTTTAGATAAGGGGTGCACATTCTAAACGCTAGATATTCGGCTATGTGCTCGGGGGGCTCACACTACGCCGAACATGGATGACAAAGGTTGTCCGGGTCAAACAGGGGGTTACCCTGTGGATCCCAAAGTCCCAACTCCACCCCCATTGGGGAAAGGACCGCTCCTTGAGACACTGAGGCATCGCCTAGTAAGGATCATGTCCCGGGGTTCCTCTACTTTTGAATCTGCCTCCTCATAGGAGGAGTTATCAATATCCTCTGATTTGGACCCCTCACTCTGGTCGCTGTCCGAGCCTTCCTCTTCCACTTTCTGGTTGCTTTTGCGTGGTATCGCGCCATCTGGGACTGCATCGAGCTTGTCAGTCAATTCAGGCAAGGCCTGATTCATTGAGTGAGGGGAGAAGTGTTTCGTCTTGGTCTTGGCTTTGTATGCCGTGACCATAGTAGCACGTGACCCTTGGGGTATAAACAAGGCTTGGGCCCGGGTCTGGGAAATAGAGGAGGAAATGGCCCCTATGGCAGACATGAGGGCCCGCTGGATGGACCCCGCCATTGTGGAGTCCAAGAGAGCCTGGAACTCCTCCGAGGGCATAACTCCTTCCTCGCCCCCTATAGGTGGGAGTGTAATAATGGGAGTAGTGGAAGGGCCTTCCGGCTCACTGCCTCATGCCTGCATGGTCAAAGTTAACACCCCAAGTTAGGAGAGGCAGTAATGAAACCCAGGGGAGCAGCCACTACTCTGAGGTGATGATCTGGCAGAGAAGCCGTTCAAAACACTGGGCAGGTAGAATAACCCCCACACTAATACAGAAAATACTCAATACTGTATGAGTCAGCCCTGCTACCTAATAGCACCTAAGTAAAGGGTTGAGTAACCCTGAACAGAATAACTGAAGAGCTTAACCAAAAACCTGATCAATATGGGGTGCACCGGAGAACAGAGGGAGCCGCCGTCGTGGGATACTCACAGAAGCTGAAGTCGGGCCACTGGTGAGTAATCTCCTCCTAAGTGCGCTTTCTGACAGAAAGTGCGCCAAAACGGCAGGCTCCGCCCCCCCCCCAAATGGCTGCCGGGTGAGCCCCAGCTTCCCGGCGGTGAGAACAAACGCTGTCTATGCCGGGGAGTCCAGTAAAGCCGCTGAGCGGCAGCAGTCTCGCACAGATAGCAGGAAGCCCCTCCCTTCCTGCTATCTGTGAAGGCAGTGAGGAGAGACAGGCTGAGCCGGCTCCCAGTGAGGGAGATCCGCAGCTCAGTCTGCCCAACCAGCAGGGAGTTGGTGCACCCCAGCCACTAGTAAACATACAATAAACTTCTAAAGACTACGAGCCAGTAGGGCACAGAAAATAAAAGCCCTACACAGTTAGGTAAATTATCCACAAAATACTTAGCTGGTCTGAAGGCGCAGTAAGAAAGAGGAAGTCCACTGATTGGACCATTACTTTTATAGAATATTGTGAAGAAAATAGACTTGATTTCGGGATTTTCTTCTGTCATTCGTTTATTTTAAGTTTTTTTGGTTCAGTAGATTAAACTACCGAACGCAGACCACCCTCCTGGCTCATTATCTACAAAGGGTTTTATTTGTTTTTATGCACTTTTCAAAATTGACTGACCGCACACACTGAATTCATGGAACTGTTTTGGGCAGGAGCCTCATGTGCAGTCGGTGAACTAAGACTTCCACACTTTTTGAGAACCCCTGAACCGATCTGGGTGAAATTTGAATATGTTGGTCTCCCAGATCGGGGCTATCAGGGGACATTTGTGGGGATACCTTGTGTGTAAAGGGGTGTTCCAGTTTTTGGGGAAATTGTGTGTCCTTTGCCTGGAGATAATTGTGTTATCCTTTAACTTATCTACTTATCTCCCAGGCAGAGGAAGGGAGGGTTTTACTGTAAATCTGTATTATGATTGGTTGTCCCTTTTGTTTACTGTGGGAGGTCCTCTTGCAGGAGGATTTCCATAAAAGCCAGTGTGGCATCAATAAAACATTATTCCTGTTGTACCCTTCATGAAGTCTAGGCTCATGCTTGGGTAATCTTTATTTGCTGGGGAGATTCGTCTTGGAAACTGCATTCATCTTTACTATTCCTCTACATCCTAGCTGCAGCTATAATCACTTATGCTCAGTAATTGGAAAGGGAATAGGCGAACTCAGTACCATAACTACTGATGTTCTTAACAAATATACTTTCTGTTGATTGGCTGCCCAATCCCTAGGCAGTTTGTTGTATTATACATTTTAAGTTAAAAGTCTTTTTCTCTCATTCTTGTTGCTGAGGGAAAAAAAATAGAAAGAAAATGCATAATATGAGCCACCGTGTCATTAATAAAATCATCTGTTCCTTAGCAGGCCTTAAAATTAGGTAAATACAATGAACAACAACACATAACATATCACACCGTATCATGAATTTTGTCAAGAAAAATAAAGCCAAAATGGAGATAGTTCTCCATAATACACAAAGCCACTTGGGTGAAAACCACACAGCATATAACCACAAACACCTTACACCAACTGTAAAGCATGGTGGTGGTGGGGTAATGAGTTGGGCTTAATTTGCAACCACAGGACCGGGGAACCTTGCAGTCATTGAGTTGTACATGAACTCCTCTGTATACTAAAGTATTCTAGAGTGAAATGTGAGGCTGTCTGACAGCTAAAGCTTTGCCGAAATTATGTCATGCAGCAGGACAATAATCCCAAGCACACCAGAAAATCTACAACAGAATGGATTGCTAAAGAAAAGAATCAAAGTTTTGCAATGGCCCAGTCAAAGTCCAGATCTCAACTCGATTAAAATGCGATTGCAGGCACTTAAGAGAGTTGTGCATGAACAAATGACAGCAAACCTCAATGAACTGAAGCAACGTTTTAAAGAAGTATGGGTCAAAATTCCTCCACAACAATGTGAGAGACTGATAAAGTCATAGAGAAAACAATGACCTGTACGATCACCTGTTGCAGCTGTACCTTATCATACGCAAAATCTGCGCATGGTACAAGAAGGTGGCCATTTTGTTTAATTAAAAAAGGCAACCCCAAAAATGCCTACTTATTGTACAAATGCTGATGTGAAACGTACCTATCTTACTTACTGTAGCTGCTGACTGAGTGCTACAGTGGGCGTCCTTCAGTTATGCTTGATAATGCAAGAATTGGGACAGCTTGTTTCCAATGCTAGATTTACCCTCCCTGATGCCCCAAAGTCAGTATACTTAATGTGTCCCAGCCCCTCATAAATATAAAGCTTGGTGTATGTGATTGGAATGGATGAATGTTACTTGTATGGGGTATAACTGTATGGTAAGTATGACTAGGTGTTTGGTTGAATGACAATAAGTGCAAGGTGGGTGGTGGTAGGCGTTATGTGGCCAAGTGTGTGAATGTGACACGGTGAATAACTATGACTGGAAGGTGAAAAGGACAGACTGGGAGGATAGCAGAACATGATCAGTTTGGAGCATATGGCTGGTTGGGATGCTGAATGGCAACGTGTACATAAGGGCATATTTGTGTGGAGTTTTAGAGTGTTCGTGTGAAAGACAAGTATATTTGCATTTCGTGCTGGTGGGGGAATACAGTGATGTGTTTTTATATTGTGCATGTATGTGCATGATGGAGCATGTTTGTGTGAAGTTTTTGTGTGCATGTACAGGTAGTGAGTATATATGTATAGATGTGTTTGTGCACTGTGTTTCCAATTCCCATCTGCCCCTTTTTATGTCTTTCTAGCCCCTCTATTCATTTATTTCTCCCTCATATATTTTCTCCTCCCCCTTTCTTTAATTATGCCCTCACCTCATAACACCCCCCTTTCTCCAATGGTTCCCCTCTCCTTTCTCCTCATTTCTCAGGTGTTCACCTCTTATTTCTTTCCAACCCTCACTTGTTCCCATTTTTATTCTCTCCTTCCATCACTTGTTCTCCTCTTCCTTATCCCTTAAACTACCTGTTCTTCTGTCCTGCTGCTTAAACAATTCTTCATCTCTTTCTGCCCTGCAGGCAGCGAGAGATACAGGAAATCGCACAGGATTATGATGCTAATGTCATCTCTATGCCCTCACTTGTAGTTCCTTTGGCTGCTGGCTGGAAGCTGGGGAAAGAGCTATTCTCCTATTCACCTACTTTACTATCACGATCCAGGATTTCAGCAGTGTTGCACCACTTCCGTGTGAGGTCATGGCATGCTGCTCCGATCACACAGAATAGCTGTTGTCAGACATAGTTTTTTTCCCCTCAGATTCATACACAGGCTTTTGATATATCTTTATTGAAAACCTGAAAAGCTCTCTGTCTCCTCAGTCCAACATTAAGTGCTTACTAATAAGAGTGAAGAGTCACTCAGATGGCCAGAGTAGTCTAGTGCTCCACACTATGCACGGAGGCTCTGAACATTATCCATAAAGATACATTGATTTAATGCATGTCCACGAGAAGATGCTGATTGGTGCAACCTGGCATCTTGTTGCGCATGCGCAATAGCCTCTCAATGCTTTCCTATGGAGGTGGGGCCAGCAGTGGTGAGATCAGAGGTATGTTGGTTACCTAAATAGTTTGTTAAACACTATAATGTCAGATATATATGTTTGTATTGCTGACACTTTGGTATTCCTTCAATGTATAAATCTTCTTATAATGCAAAATATTAATAAAGCAATATTAATTCATGAAAATGTAGAAATATGTAAGGAAATACTTACGCGGGATCTTAGGTAATGAAGAGTTAACCCTTCAGCTGTAAACCCTTGACAGCCGCTAGAGGCGCTTCCTCGCTTCTCACTGTGAAAATCACATTGAAAAGATGCTGCCGTCCATAGGAAAGCATTGAGAAATGCTTTCCTATGGACTGATTGAATGCGCGTGCGGCTCTTGCCACGCATGCGCATTTAGCACTGACTTCGGAAGAGGGCGGAGATTTCCCCAGCGCCGAGGGAGCCTGGCACTGGAGATTAACCCCTTCCTCCCCCTTCAGCCTGGCGGGAGTGGGACCCTGATGGTAGTGGGGACCTAAAGACCCTGTGGTGCCTGTGGTTTGCAAAAAACTCCAATAAAACTATCAGGGTTAATCACTAAAGAGAGAATTCAAGTGAATTTCAAACTTAAGGCCACAGTAGCAAAACTTGAATTTTTCAAGTTTGGCTGTTTTGACCTTAAAACTGGAAATCACTTTGAATTCAGCTTGAATTCTCACTCTAGTGAATGACCTTGTATGAAAAAAACGTTTCAATACACTTATGTCAAATTTGATAAGCTTCTGGAAAAATGGAAAATATTTACTTTTGCAGGTATGTGGCACATCATATGTGTAACATACATAATGATAGACAAGATTCATATCTCTATTTAATCAAGCAGCCAGTTTGCTATTAGTACAATTCAATAC